TTTCATAGTTTCAATGGAATGGAAATCTGTGTACCCACTTTAATCTTTGTTTTCTGTAATATATTAGACCTCAGTACTGTTATCTTAAAGGATTAAATGTCATGAAAGTGTCGTTCAAACTGATAAAGAAGGTCGTGTAAGACTACTCTTTTTAAATAGTGTGGAACTTGCCTGATGACGAAGGGCCATGCAGTTACATTCCAATTAAGTCTTAATCAAAGTTGAAATGCGAAAAATATGGTCTTGTGTGTCGAAATGAAGAGAATCAACCAGCAATATTTGTAAACTTTACCCCATGATGTAATGCCTGATCAAAACCGTTGGTATCTTCCTGGCTAGAAGCCCCCCTCCTTCAGACTCTATGGGGTATCATGAGTCATCCAGTTCCTAATTAACTTAGTGCGCAGTCGTTTCACATGATGTTAGGTTGAAAGAAAGCAGAACTAAATAGTTGCAATACAGTATAAATATTCTAGTGGAAGAGAATGGTGGTGATAAGTGTATAGTCCACTTTTGAAAGCTGCTAAGTAATGCATTGATTTCCTGTCTTACATTTTTGTCACTTCAGTAATGCGGATTAAAGTACTCTTAAGGGCTGTCCAGTCCAAATAAGTGTTATGACAAATAACTTTGAACTTGAAATCTGTGAGTAACAGATGGCTTAAACTTCACTTTGGGTCACTTTGGTTGGATGCTCACTTTTATGGAAAAAAAAAAGTTTGATAAACGCAATTCAAAATTCGATGTTGCTGTTACTTCCAAATAATCCTAAAGCATATTGTAACAGCATTATTCATGATTGTTGACTGGCTTTAGTCAAGAATTCCCTTTACGCTTTATTCTGGCCACTGCAATTTTTTAAATAACTGTCGGTATATTTAAAATTCAACCCAAATTAGGGAAAAAAATGAAATCTTATTTAGTAAAAAAATTAATCACTGTTATGTAGACTTGCTGTAATCAGTATTATTATGGTAATAATTTTTACATGAAGAAAAATGAAAAAAATCAAATTCAATGATTCATTGGTTAAGATTTTAATGAACAATAAAACAAAAATACCAATAACAATTCCAAAATAATTTTGAATATGAAATATCTAAAAATAATAAAAAATAATATGTGCGACTAGTGTAAAATTCATAGTACTTAAACTCTAGTTATATTTGCTGTTAAGGAAATATTAAGAATCGTTTTAACATAATCAATTTCGTGACATTACATCTAATGTACTTAAAAACTTGTCAAACTTCTGTTACTGAAACTGGTAATATAAACAGTATGTACAAAAAGATAGTTTCTGGTAACTTGTAGGCAGGGCGTGATCTAATGATTAGTCTGCTCGGAGTGTGAATCCGAGGTTCGTGATTCTCGAGCCATTGACTCAATAACGCGCTCCCAACTTTCAGCCACAAAAGAAATGATAGTCAAATTCAACTATTCAGTCAATTAAGAGTAGACCAAAATCTGCTGGTGGGGGCTGTTGACTAGCTGCCTTTTATCTAGTTTATCATTTGAAAATTAGATATGGCTAATGGGCAAAGAGCACCCTTTGTGTATCTTTGCTCAAAATTTCTCAAACAGATAAACCGATATACAAGTCATTGTGATAGTTTTTGTAAGAGAGCCCATATAAGGTAGATAGAATTCTACATGTCAATAACTTTCTTTCATTTATCCAGTTAAGTAAAAATAGCCAGTCATTCTCGCTCAATGCTGATTAACGTAGAACTACTAAATTCTCGAAAAATGTTTATTGAGTTTAACATTTACTTACTAAGAAGTACAGCTGTTATTACGAGTGTTTTTGTTTTAGTGCTCTATACTTTTGGCTTGACATTGAGTTCCTCCTCCTCTCTGAAATAGATAAAAACTATGATATATATCTTCTTTCACCAATAATTTTCGCTGTTCAAGAACATATCTTATCTTTCAGTTCAATCATTAAGTGAAACGCGTTTTATCATAACTGTTGCATTGGTTTTTAAATAATTTTACTACGAGTTCTATTTGTGATAATAACACGTAGGATCAGCATGTAATATGCTAGTTAATATTCAAGAAGTATCTCTTTTAAAGCAGAAGAAAATCCTACATTGTTTAGTAGCTCAGTTTTGCGCAGAAGTCGTACAGAATCGTTGCATAATTTCAGTTTTCAAAGTACAAAACGACTTCAATATCTCAACTGTCCATGTTTA